TCTCTGGAGATATTTAAGAGTAGGTTAGATAAATGTCTGTCAGGGATGGTCTAGACAGTATTTGGTCCTGCCATGAGGGCAGGGGACTGGACTCGATGACCTCTTGAGGTCCCTTCCAGTCCTAGAATCCTAGACACCTGGAGCGCTTTGCTTGCATAATACTAATACCTCCCTCTTATCTAGTGCTTTTAACCCAGTCTCAAAGCACTTTACAAAGGAAGTCAGTATCATTATCCCCAATCTGTGGCACAGGGACCCGGGGGGGCGGGGGAGGGTATTGTCTTGCCCAAGGTCACCCAGCAGGGCAGAGCTGGGAATAGAACCCAGGTGTCCTGAGTCCCAATGTCTCTCTACTAGGCCCCACAGCCCGCTCTACCAGCAAAGCGCTCCTAGCGTGGGTGCAGCTTTACCAGCCAAACTGTGCTGGCCTATATCAGATGAGCGTCCACCCAGAGAGTTAGACCAGTAAAACTCTAGCACTTTAAACTCCCACCTGAGCCCAGAGCAGTGTAACTAAGCTAAGGGTTGGTACTGATACTTGCCACCCCCTACCCAGCACTTACTCCGGGCGCAGCCCTTTCAAATCCCTCCCCTTTCCACACCTTGCTCACCCCTTCCCACAAACATCCTTGCTCTTCCAACGCTCCTGTCTGTGCTCCGTGTCAGCTGAGGGCCCCATAAGGAGGAGAGGCGCTTAGGCTGGTAGGCAGAGAATGGGACTACTTGGGCAAGAGGCAGCTGTGCTATTTAGATTCATGGAGTTTAAGGCCAGAAGTGACCCCAGATCATCTAGTCTGATATCACAAGCCACCGACAACCACCCAGCAGCTGCTGTTCCTTGTCTCTCTCTCTCTGTTTCAGGTTTTGCATGAAGCACGTCCCTGCAGCCCTACTCAAAGCAGCATCTGGTGACGTTTCCAACCCCCCCACCACCACCACCACCACCACCCCAGGCTCCTCCACATGGCACTGATGCATACCCAGCCCTCCGGTGAGCCCTGAGCGCTTCCCTCTCCATTGGCACAGAGATACATTCCCCCCCCTTGCCCATTCGGCCCGGAACGAAGCGGCCATGGCTGAGGCCGTCCATTACATCCACCTGCAGAACTTCAGCAAGTCCCTGCTGGAGACGCTGAACGGGCAGCGCCTGGGCGGGCACTTCTGCGACGTGACTGTGCACATCCACGAGGCCACCCTGCGGGCCCACCGGTGCGTGCTGGCCGCCGGCAGCCCCTTCTTCCACGACAAGCTGCTGCTGGGCTACTCGGAGATTGAGGTGCCCGCCGTGGTGCCCAGCCAGGTGGTGCAGCAGCTGGTGGAGTTCATGTACAGCGGCTCCCTGGTGGTGGCCCAGTCCGAGGCCTTGCAGATCCTGACGGCCGCCTCCATCCTCCAGATCAAGACAGTCATCGATGAGTGCACCCAGATCATCTCCCAGAGCCGTAGCCCCAAGCCGCCCACCGCTGCCCCCTCCGTGCCCCTCGCCGTCCCCAGGCCACTGGTCGTCAAGCCCCAGGAGCAAACCAAGGAGAGCCCAGGTGCTGTCGGTCTCCCAGCCTCCCGACCCGGTGAGATGGAGCCCCCTGGCACCGCCCAGCTGGAGGCCCCCAAGCTGCTGTGCGCCTCAGAGGTGCGCTACAAGCTCCGCGACCTGCTCTCCTCCCAGCAGAGGCAGCTGGGGGAGGCCAGAGAGAGGGCAGCGTCCGAGGGGGAACTGACAGCCGCCGGCAGCGACGGTGAGGGGCCCTACAGCGGGCTGCACCCAACCGAGGCTCAGCCCAGCTGCCACAGCCGCAAGCAGCGCCAGCCGGTGCGGCTCCAGCTTTCCGACGCCTTGCCTGTCATCATCAAGGACGAGGAGGAGGAGGAGGAAGACGAGGAGGAGGAGGAGGGCGGCGGGGGAAAGATGACCTGCTTTGGGGAATGTGGCGGGGGAGCCTTCCCCAGCTGCAGCGAGGCCAAAGACACGGGGGGCGGGAGCGGCGGAGGCGGGGCGGGCAGGAAGGACGGCGTCCAGCTAGACTACCCCGCCGTGGAGGGGCAGGATTTCTTCGGTGGGCAGGACGTCTTCTCCGAGTCCTTCATCCCAGCCTGGCAGAGCGAAGAGGGCGGCCAGGGGGCGGCCCGGGAGGGCGAGAAGTTCCGCACCGATTGCAGCCTGGAGGCCTCCAACATGAGGACGCTGGCTGGAGACTTCAAGCCAGCCCCGGCCGGCTTCCCGGCCCAGGCGCCCGAGCCCCGCAGCTTGGCCTTCGTCTCCTCCCTGGGCATCCAGCGGGAGCTGAAAGCCGAGGTGAGCGCCGCCGGACCCGGCACCACCACCACCACCAGCATCTTCCAGTTCCACCTGCCGCAGCCCGGCGTGGCCCAGAGCTTCTACAGTGTCCAGCAGGAGGCCGGCACCGCCAACATGGTACAGCTCAGCCCCAGCGCCATGGTGACGGGCTCCCTGCACGGCGAGCAGGCCCAGCGCCCGGGGCCTTCCCGCTGCTCCGAGCCCTCCTACCAGTGCAGCCACTGCCAGAAGACCTTCAGCTCCCGCAAGAACTACACCAAGCACATGTTCATCCACTCAGGTGAGGGGGTGGGTGGGTGAGCGTGGGGCGCTGGGGGCAGATACCCTTTGCTCCCTCCCCGGCTGCTATAAGCCGCAGGGTGAATTCTCTCACTGTGATTGGCTGGAAGAGCCTCAGCAGGGGCGGCACCGGAGGCTCAGCCAATGAATAGCCTGGGTGGTGCCAGGGCGCTCATGGAGAGCGACTGTGATGACCGCCCTCACGGCTGACATCCCCAGGGTCGAACCAGGGACCTCCTAAGCTGGGGTCATGTGGTGCAGTGTAGGAGAGTGTTCAATCACTATGTGTGCGGAAGAAGCAGAGGACTTTTGCTATCTGATCTGGATCACCCTGGTGACTCTCCACCCCTCCGTCCCACTTGGCTGAGGGTCTCTGCTCCAGGTACTCCCCTCTGGCCAGGGCTCTGCGCTGTCCCCTCCTGGAGAGTCTGCCCCAGCAGTGAGACGATCCCCACCTCCATCCCCTATGGCTGAGAGCCAGTCTGCCCTTGGCCAAAGCACGCTGGCCACCTCTCGTTCACCCCAGCTGGGGTCACGCAGAGCTGTGTAGAAAGGGGCTCTCCCCTCCCTTCTCTGGGACAGCAGGCCTCTGGGATTGGGGTGCCCAGCATGAGTGAAGGGTCTCCCCAGAGCTTTAGAGAGAGGGACCCCTCTGCTCCCAGGGAGGAAATCCATCTATATACAGAGGCCAGTTTCCAATGGATGGTCCGTTTCTTCCCCAGGAGCTGTCAGCTAGGAAGCTGGGATTTGAGGGGTGGGGGGCAGTGTGTCAGGACTGGGGATGAGCCCTAGGAAGCCAGGACGGAGGCGGGGGGATCAAGGCCGGGGTGGGATGTGAGGCCTGGGGCTCTGCCCTAGAAAGCTGGGACCAAGGGGTATCAGGTCCGATGCTGCGCCCTAGAAAGCCGGAATCAGGGGGGGTCGGGGCTGGGGCTGAGCCAGGGGTATCTGGGAAGCTGATCCGCCGCACATGACGGGTTCTGGACTTACTGACCCTGGAGCTCCCTTCCAGTCCTATGTCCTCCTGTGCTGCTGTCTTGCAGGCGAGAAGCCCCACCAATGCAGCATCTGCTGGCGCTCCTTCTCGCTGCGGGACTACCTGCTGAAGCACATGGTGACGCACACGGGCGTGCGGGCCTTCCAGTGCTCCATCTGCTGCAAGCGCTTCACCCAGAAGAGCTCCCTCAACGTCCACATGCGCACGCACCGCCCCGAGCGCTTCCAGTGCTGTATCTGCAACAAGTACTTCTCCCACCGCACCCTGCTCGAGCGCCATGTGGCCACCCACACCGCTTGGAAAGCCGGCGAGCCCGACGTGGCCGGAGGCGCCTGGAAGGAGAAGCCTGACCCGGGAGAAGGCGCCAGCGTCACCGCCTGGAAAGGGGACCCAGCCGCCGAGGGCGCCATGGTGGCGTGGAAAGGGGACCCGGGCGGGGAAGGCACCATGGTGGCGTGGAAAGGGGACCCGGGCGGGGAAGGCACCATTGCAGCCTGGAAGGGGGACTCTGTTGCAGAGGGGGCTCTCCCCACCCAGCCTGCGTGGAAAGGGGACCCTGCTGGAGATGGCCCCATGCCAGCCCACACAGCCTAAGAGAGGGGCCCGGCTGGAATGGGCACAGGTAAAGAGGGGACCAAAGTGAGCCCATCTCAGCCCAGCCAGCCTGGAAAGGGTCCCAGGCCTAGCACAACCCATGTGCCCTGGAAAGAGAAGCCGTAGAGTAACCCACTCAGCTCAGAGAGGCATCTGGGGTACCAGTTACTTTCCTGATACCCCCCACCCCAGCCGGTACGACGTGCACTCAGGACCGACTGGCTTGGTCAAGTCCTGTTTTGATCTCCAAGGTGAGTTCTCTCTGTGGGCTCAACTCCCTTCCGAGCCCCCCAATGGGCCATGCCCTGTGGACGCTCCCTCCTCCCAGTCACACCAGTTGGGAGCAGTACCATCCCCTCCAGCAGACCATCTCTGAGCCAGGTGACAGAAACCAACGGAAACCCTAGCAGTGACCAAAGAGTCTGTCCGGCTCCCTGGGGAAGGGACAGAAAGGAACTGCACAGCTATGGAGCCCCTAAACCTTCTTTTGTGAGCAGCTGTTCCTCCATCTTCAGGCGTTCAGAGGTGGATCAGAGTTCTAGCTACTCCCTGGCTACAGAATCCCTCACTTGCCATCGGCGTTCTCCAGCAGCCCTTGTCATTGCAAAGAGGAACTTCCCGACGTTTGCCTGAGTCTGCGGACAGCCTGAAACAGGCCCTGGGAGAGGCGCAAACTACCCCTTTGGTTATTAACCCTGAAACTTAACAATGACCGTTTAAATGTCGGCATCACTAACTGCAGCTCTCCCAGTAGTTTTAGCAGCCACATCCAGCTAACGTACTTGTCCCACAATGCCAAACAATTCCCCAGTTCTCAAATCTCCGCGCTCACTCCCCCATCGCCCCCTGAGAACATTGTATAAGACAGGGTTTGAAGAGCAGTGGGGCACAGAAAATTTAAGGGCAGAGTAACTAGAGTTCAATATAAAATAAATAACACACTGACAAGGCACTGATTGCGCTGATGGAGGGGTTGCCGGCAGCCGGTGAACCCCTCCTTCTGTCTAAAAATATTGCACCCATAAGTCTTACCTGAGAACACTTAAATGGAAGGAGATTAGAGAGCAGAAGTGGGTGAAATTTTTTAACCGAACCTTTTTTCAATGTAAAATGCAGATTTGGCAATGCCAAAAAGTTTCACAAATTCGTGTCGGTTTTGCCAAATGGTTTTGAGGAGAAATAAAATTAAAAATAACATTCTGAAGAAATCAAAATGTTTCATTCGGACTTTTCTGGGGGGAAAATCCTTTTGGTTTTTCAATTTGAAATCTCCTTGAATTTTATTTTTTAAAAATAAAAATGCTCAAAACAAAACCTATCCCTTTTTTTTGGTTCAAAATGACTTGTTTCAAAATTTCCTTTTATTTTAAAAAAAGGTCACGTTTAAAAATGCTCAAAATCAAGCCAAAATATTTAGATATTTTGTTTCAAAATGACTTTGTGTTTAGAAAGGTCCTTTAATTTTACTTTTTCAAACTAAATAAAGGTTTAAAATACTCAAAATCAAAATGTTTCAACCCAAATGAATTTTTTTACTTTGATTTGCTGAAAATTTTCCTTTTCAGTCCAACCCGAAATGATTTTTTTCCCCAATTTTTAAAAGCGCCAAGGAACCAAAAAGACCTGTTCTTAGTCCCACAAGATTAAAGAGTCACTTTCTTCTGTTTTCCCAGTGTCCATTCAATCATGCATTCTCCTGCTGGTGGAGCGTAGAGTGAACACTTCAGATCACCCATTTCCAAAAAGCCCAGCCTCCTGCCAATGTTGTGGCCTGCTCTATATTAAGGCTGAGGCGGGCAAGGTTGGAAGCCACGACCTTCCTCCAGCATGTGTGAGGCTGACCATGAGGTCTTCTCCATCCAGCTTTTGTTAAATCATGCATAAAGCTGGTGGGCTGGTATTGACTCTGATGTACTGAGCAGATGGCCAAGCCACCTGAGTCACTTGGGAAGACATTGGAGGCCAGCTGGGCTCAACACTTGACATCTTCGTTCATAATGTGATAAAACCATCATATGCCTTCAATACCCAGCATCCCCTCTGCAGTAATCAACAGTTCTGTGGCTGATCCGTTTCAATTCCTGTTGTGTTGCCATGAAGGCCTCGTTCATGCACTGCTCCATGCAGAGAGACCTGGGCCGGACCTGAACTTTCCCAGCTCCTGGGGCAAAGATCTCACACACCTATATTCTGCCTCAGTCACTACAAGAGGACACTGACCGGGACACAACAGTTTAGGCTGCTGCTGATTGGGGTCTGGGAACGAGTCCCCTCTACCACGGAAACCCTGGGGGAACCCCCACTTAGCATCACAGAGGTCAAGGCCAGAAGGGACCATTAGATCATCTGTCTAACCTTCTCTATAGCTAGGCTTGGCAGAATTTGATTTTTATTTTTTTTATAATTTTGATGGATAATATCAATGTTTATTTGAAGCATTTTTTTTTTCAATTTTTATCAATTTACATTTTTACAGGTGCACAAAATTATCGGTTTTAAGTGTTTTTTTCCTTGATTTTTATCAATTTAAGTTTTCATAGTTGCTGGAAATTGGGGGGCAGAGACAATCATTATTTAATGACCATAGACATTAAGATTAAAAGGTAAAGCTTTTTAACCGTGAAAACGCAAATTGTCGCCATCATATGTCAAATGTACAAACTAAATAGCCTTAAGTCAAACTTAGGAAGTTCTCAAGCAGCATTTTTCTTACTTTGCCTAGCTGTGAATTTCAATTATTAGCGATGGAAATATTTTATCTTCAGTTTGTGGTTGTCTGGTGAAATAGATGTTCATCGGCGTTTACTGATAAAAATCGAATCCTTCCAAGCCTACGTATAGCACCAGCCACAGCCACCATCCAGAACCCTGCTCACTATACCTGAGAGCCAGAGAGTCACTTTCTGAACCCCTGTGTGGGCCTAACTAGTAGCAAATTCTGGGGGAAAGAGGAAGTGCCCAGCTGTGGGGACTGGAGAGGCCCCACCAGTTCAGGGGCAGGAGATTGGAGTCAGCCGAGGAGAAGGAATGGATCCCACCCCTATTTGGTGTGGGACATAATCTCGGCTTGTTGAGCTCACTGCTGTCTCTGGCCATGCGGCATATTGAGGTTGCACAGCCAAGCTTTTCCCATGACTTTGGGTATGTCTTCGCTACACCGTTAACCCCGGTGATTAGCACCCAGGTTAAGCTAGCCCAGGAGTGAGTATCCTCACAGCAAAGCCCTTTGCCCATGTTACTATTTATTCATGCACACTAGGATTCTTTCCTCATCAGTTGTGGAAGAACTCATCTGTCCTTCAGGGAAAGGCGTTGGAGGAGATCAGTGCTCAAGTGATGGAGAATCCATCACCATCCTTGGGAAATTGTTCCAATGGTTAATTACCGTCACTGTCAAAAATTTATTTCAAGTCTGAATTTGTCTAGTTTCAACTTCTAGCCATTGGATCGTGTTAGACCTTTGTCTGCTGGATTGAAGAGCCTGTTATTAAATATTTGTTCCCTATGTAGGTACTTATAGATGAGATAAAGGCACCCCTGAACCTACTCTTTGTAAAGCTAAAGCTCTTTGAATCTATCACTGTAGGGCGTGTTTTCTAATCCTTTAATCAGTCGTGTGGCTCTTCTCTGAACTCTCCAATTGATCAACATACTTGCTGAGGACTGAAGGTGAACTGTAATGAAGACAGCCCCTCTCGGTTTCCCATGTACCCCACTTGAGATCGGGGAGGTGTTTCTGTTAACAGGCTCTAGATTTTAGCATTGGGCGTGGACCTGGAGATGAGGTGTTCTCCAGCTCCTTTGGAGCCCACGTCTACTGGGTTTGTCTATGTGGGATGGGGGGGAGGTGAGTGCCCCACTTCATGGGACCCCAGTTGGTTCAGGGAGTTAAAAGTATGAGCCTGGAGTTGGCTGCGGATACGGAGCGTTCAGCTAGCTGCAGCACTCCGCATGCCGGGGGCTTTCCCAGCAGCAGGGAATGACCCTGCAACCTGCAGGGTTCTGACTGATTCCTTGACGTCCATCCTCTACTCTCCTGATTCACACATGCGCTTCCTGGGCAGTGGGTCTGGACATGCCACAGGCTGCGCTGTAGGGCTGAAGAGAGCCAGGATGGTTGAATGGCAGGATCTGAGCTCACGTTGCCAGTCAGAGCAGTCTAAACTCTGACGGGGGGCTCGGCGGTCACAAGTCATAGACTTTAAGGCCAGCAGGGACCATTGTGATTATCTAGTCACAGAACCTCACCCACCCACTCCTGTAACAGACCCCTAACCTCTGGCTGAGTTACCGAAGTCCCCAAATCATGATTTAAAAACTTCAAGTTACAGAGAATCCACCATTTACACTAGTTTAAACTTGAAAGTGACCCGTGCTCCATGCTGCAGAGGAAGGCGAAAACCCCCCAGGGTCTCTGCCAATCTGACCTTGGGGAAAATTCCTTCCCAACCCCAAATATGCTGATCAGTTGGACCCTGAGCATGTGGGCAAGACCCACCAGCCAGACACCTGGGAATGAATTCGCTGTAGTAAGTCAGAGCCTGTCCCATCCCTGGCCGTTGGAGATATTTGCTGCTATCATTTGCATTTGGGTCAGATGTCGTAGGCAATCTCATCATACCATCCCCCGCATAAACTTTTCAAGCTTGAAGACAGTTATGTTTTCGGCCCTCACTGCTCCCCTTGGGAGGCTGTTCCAGAACTTCACTCCTCTGATAGAAACCTTCATCTAATTTCAAGCCTAAATGTGTCGTTGGCCAGTTTATATCCATTTGTTCTTGTTCCAGCATTGGTGCTTAACTTAAATAACTCCTCTCCCTCCCTGGTGTTTATCCCTCTGATGTAGTTATAGAGAGCAATCATATCTCCCCTCAGCCTGCGTTTGGTTAGGCTAAACAAGCCAAGCTCCTTAAGTCTCCTGTCCTAAAGTAGGTTCTCCATTCCTTGGATCATCCTAGTAGCCCTTCTCTGCACCTGCTCTAGTTTGAATTCATCTTTCTGAAACATGGGAGACCAAAACCACACACAATATTCCAGGTGAGGTCTCACCAGTGCCTTGTATAATGGTACTAACACCTCCCTAGTTCTACTGGAAATATCTCACCTGATGCATCCTAGAATTGCATTACAGCGTTTAAAAGAGAACTGGATAAATTCATGGTGGTTAAGTCCATTAATGGCTATTAGCCAGGATGGGTAAGGAATGGTGTCCCTAGCCTCTGTTTGTCAGAGGATGTTGGATGGCAGGAGAGAGATCACTTGATCATTGCCTGTTAGGTCCACTCCCTCTGGGGCACCTGGCATTGGCCCCTGTCGGTAGACAGGATACTGGGCTAGATGGACCTTTGGTCTGACCTGGTACGGCCGTTCTTATGTTCTTATGTACCCTTTTTCATCAATTTAAATCAATTAGGCATTGCAATGCTGAGCACAGCAATACCTAAATACTTCTAAAAATCTCCATTTAAGTGGCTTGGACACCCTTAAGCCCTTGTCTACACACAAAAGTAGTACCTGTTATGCAGAGTGTTCCTATGCTTCCCTTATGCCTGGGCATCCCGTGACTGACTCCATTATAGGAGTGTCATTTTCGTGACGTATCGCTGAAGAGTTTCTTTCATTGTGGCAGTGCACATCTCCTCTCCAGGACTGGTGTAATTAAAGCAGTATAAAGGTTCTTGTACCCACACCGGAAGGGGAATATAATGGCATAATGCACCTTTATACCAGTATAATTGCATGCACACCAGGGTTGTACGGGGATCGCTATTTCAGTTTTAAAAAATCACGCCCTCCCTCCCCCCCCCGCCCAACTGACATAATTTTTACGAGCGAGACAAGGTGCTTGAGGTAATATCTTTGATTAAACCAACTTCTGTTGGTGAGAGAGACAAGCTTTCGAGCTTAGGGCAGGTCTACACTACAGGGTTACGTCGACCTAAGTTTCGCAACTCCAGATATGTCATGTAGCTTAGGTCGAATGACTGCGGTGTCTACACCGCGCTGGGTCGATGGGAGAAACTCTCCTGTCAACATACCTTACGCTTCTCGTTCTGGTGGAGTACTGGAGTCGACAGGAGAGTGATCTGCAGTCGATTTAGTGGGTCTTCACTAGACCCACTAAATCAACCTCCGGTGGATTGCTCGGTAAGTGTAGACATACCCTTTCACAGAGCTGTTCAGAAGAAGAAGACACTGTGTAAGCTCAAAATCATCATCTCTTTCACCA